AAAATTAAGTTTTGAGATAATCTTAAAAATATTTTACATCAAAATTATATACCATGATAAAATTTGAAGGTGCACCTTACCTCTACACCTACAGATGCATCCGTATGCAATCTGCGCCCTTTTCAAAATAGTAAGTTTATTTATCATAAAAAGGTTGCTCATTTACTTATTTTTTCTTTTTGTTGCATCAAAAGACAAATCCCTTTTTGACAACAACTTTCAATTTAGTCTCCCCTGTTTCAAGTGATACATTTCTTTAATCAATTTTGTCTACTTAAATTATTGAAGTTATTATTACCAAGAGAAAGAACCTCCACCTTTCCATTGAGATTTGATTTGGGACTCCAAAAAGAGAATGGTTAAAGCACGAGTCAATCTTCCCTTTAACTTTAGAGGAATCAAATAATACAAAACAAGAAAATGGGAATCACGTAATCAACCAAAATGAGGGTGAAGCCCATCCCAGTTGAATTATGGTCTTAGTTAAACCTCCCTTAGATTCATCATTGACTGTTGCATTTCCATAAGTGGCTTCCATGTCAGGGGGAATAACTTAATCAACCATGGTTGAAAACAGATCCCCTCAATGAGAGAGAGAGGGAGAGCTCAAGAAAGAGAGAAGAACGTTTAAGGATGACAATGGGCCGAGCTAGCCCTAGCCCTGCCCCGGCCCAGCCCAGCCCTTGTCCCCTTAGCGTCAGCCAAGGTCCAGCCCTAGGCCTATTAGGGTCAGGCTGGGTCGAACAGGGATGGCTTTGGCCCTCGCCCCACATTTTGTGGCCCAGGCCCTACCTTTTTGACGGCAGGACAATCAGGTCGGTTCGGGTCATGCCGGACCACCGACCTATTGCCAGCCCAATAAACATTCATCTTTATGTGGGAAGCTCGCAGACATCACCCATGAGGTTTGAGAGTTAAATGGAGGTCCCATTATCCTTTTAAGGCATTGAGGATGGCCATTGAAAAGCCCTTGGAAAAATTTAGTTGGATCGTGAAATGATTGCCATGGCAAAGTCAAAAAGAAGCATCCATCAAACTTCATCCAAAAAATTCAATAAAGTTGCTCCTCACCATAAAATAAAATTCAATTCTTACTCTACTTGCTTAGTGAGTGCAGGATGTGAAACTGCGTCATCGATATAAACATACAGGAAAAAGTTTATAATGCTCGTGTGAGTGCGTTGTATGTGTTCTGTGCATTACAGCTCAGAAACGTGCGAGTTGACTCGGAACGCCAAATGTCGACTCGGTTGGGATATTGGGATGATCATCGCCCAGACTCGACAACTTGTATGAGATCATTTATTTAAGCTAAAAAGCAAACAAAAAAAAGGAAGGAAAAGAAGACGAAGACCATTTACTTTAAATATAGGGGTCATACTCATTCATGTACGTCAGATTTCAAATCGGGCGGTTGTAAGTGTGTTATTGACTAGACTCAAAAAAAAAAATTCGAACTTTATAACACACCACAAACCATGACATCTAATGTCCAGTAATGTAATAAAGACATATGGTCGCATAGTATACAACTCAAAAAAAAAAAAAAGTGGGGTGGTTAGTTTCTTTTTGTTTTCGAGGCTTTGTATCCAGATTTAATCAATCTTTATAACAACAGCCTATTTTTTATCCAATACTACTTTATTGCATCGATTTAAATTTTGACAAGGGTTTCTCGTAAAAAAAAGGGCAATTCTTGAACCCTAAAAACCAAATCCACCATTATTTGAATTTGTCTCTCGATTATTAACACCAAAACTTTGAAACTTGGTCCAAGTTAATCATGTTTAAGGCCTCTATCAAAACCCCACATCAATCCATTAGATAAAAAGAGGAGAGAAATCGAAATTCCAATTTTTTAGGGTTTTTTTAATCAGAAATTGAAAGTCTTTAATCTTTCTCATTCTTTCATCAAATTCATTCAATTTTGTATTTAAATGCTTCTATTACATTGGTATAAAAGCCCACAAAAATGTTTTTCAAACCTAAATGACAAATTGCCAAAAATTGGTTAATTTTTTGCCATTTTTTCTTCATCTTCCTTCCAAAATGCTTTTTTGATTTTTGTTTTTTGGTTTTGATTTTGATTGTGGGAAGTCTTTATCTATGTATTTTCATATTTTTTGTCTTTTTTTTGTTTTGGTGTTTTGTTAAGTGGTTGAGTCAACCCTACCAACGCAGCAATTCAAATCAGTTGGCTCGGACCTGGCAGACACCTAATTTAGGTACCTGGACCGGGTTTCAAAACATTGCCACATGCATATAGCTTGGTTCATTTTCATCGACGAAGGGTGGAGATGAACCACTCTATATAACAATGCTGAAAAGCCAGCTTGCTATTGCCCGATCAGACTTGGAACCAGGGGGATCGGTCCATGTCTAATGACCCCAAACTAGCATATGGGAAGTTCCTATTTTCAGTTTTTATAAAAAAAATTCCTAAAGCACCAGCTAGTTCTGATCTAGTTCACCGGTTTGGATCCGATTTACTAGTGAGTCCAATTTTTAAAGCATTGCTCTGCACTGCTCCTATCAAGTAGGGAACAGTTTATCTCCATCGTCCATCACTAAAGAAATGGATGATGCTGCCTGTAGTAACATAGTACATTTAGTATGCTATACAATCTTATATTTAGTATTTACATTAAGAAATGAACTCATATAGTGTTATAGTGTTATTGATGTAGGGAGAAAATAATAAATATAAGAAAACAAATAAAGGTTGAGAGAATGTACTTCTCACAGGATCTATAGGAGAATCCACCTCAAAAGATGTTTTTACAAGATTTAAACAAATTCTAATTAATCTTCACTCTTTTTTTTAGTAGTTACACATTTATAGAAGAAAATAAACCTAAAACCTAACTTGTTCCTTAATAAACTCAATCAAATCCTAATCATTCATCCTTAAAACAATAAACTTTCGATTCAATTACTGCAATATAAAAATACATAAATAACCTTAAAGAAAATTTGATATTTAATATAACCTCAAACCTAAAATCTAGAAAATAATAAAATAAAAAAATACAAAACTCATTACATGAGTATTTCTAAGGAAGCACACTGTACACTTACTCCCTCAGGTAAAACATATATTTAAAAACTGTTTCAAATCTAAAATTTACGAATCTACTTTAAAAATAGAGTTCCATAGCACTTAGATCTAATCATCCAAAAATTAGATGATCTAAATTCATTCTTAGACATGTAAAAGCAATAAAATATACAACGAAATCATGTTTTGTTTTTTGTATTTAAAAAATTTCTCATATATTTCATATTTTATATTTAAGTTCCACTATTTGATCAAATAAAAAGTATTTTAATTTTATATCTTTTTCTATATATCAAATTAAGTTCAAAAAATAACAAATAACTGAAATTTATTTATTTTAAATTATCTTTTTAATATTCTTTATAGGTATGTGTTGGCGAGAAGTACAAACATATTAAATTTGATCTTAATTCAATGCATTAAAAAAACAAAGTTAAAATTAAAATATATTATTGTATATTTTAAAAAAGTGGTATTTGAATGTTAAATGTGAAAGATACGACACTATTTTTTAATTCAAAAATGAAATAAGACCTTTTTTTTCAACAATTATGAAACTTTCAAGGGTTTATCCCGCTTCAATTAGTTTCTCCCTTTGTAAACAGCGGATCACTAGTTTCTTGCTCTCCAAGCTAATGAATTACGGGATATACATCTCTGTTCTTCAATTTTTCTCTTTTCCAGTCTGGGTGCCTTGTTTGTGTCATGTACCATTGTCCTGCACAAATTTATGTTATGGGGTGGATCATATCTATTTGGATGATCCACCCCACCTATTTGGGTTTTTGAAACGCTGAAATTGAGTGGAAACGTAGTGGAATTAACAACCAAAGCCAAACTCCTTGGGTTTTAAGATGCATATCTTAGTGCTTTTCCTAAAATAAACCCTAGATTAGGACATTATCTTAGTCTTAATTGCCCAAATTAGGGCACAATCCTGGATTAGGACATAATTTTAAGTTTTAATTGCCAAGATTAGGGCACAATCCTAGATTAGGACATAAACTTATGTCTTAATTTTTAAGATTAGAGCTCAATCTTATTACCCCATCCTCTTCTAACCCTCATATGTTCATATCCACGTGTTTAAAGTTGAAGGCCTTTTTGGAAAATGGTTTGATGGGGTTGTAGTTTTATCAAAATAAATAAAACCTCACTTCATATCTCATCGAAATTTACAACTCAAGCATTGAAAAATCTTTACATTGACATCTTACTTTGAACATTATGGCTGTGAAAAAAAATTAGGATTTCAAACTCTAAAAATGGTATATATTGTAATTAATTATCTAAACCATCTATTTCTCTTTAAAAATAAATATTTACATATCATATCTATAAGATTTTTATTATTTATTGAGTTTCATGCATGATTTTTATTATTTATTGAGTTTCAAATTTCATTATTGACATTGCTGAAAGTGCTTTCCAACTAAAAAGATTCAATAGAAGCTTTTGTTTTGTTTTCATGAAACCTGGGCCTTTAAAAACCTCATCCTTTCTGTTTTTAGGGATCCTCAAGAGTGAAAAGAAACCAATAACCATTCCTGTCTTTCTCTCTCTAGTTTCTCTCTCTACTATTGCTATCCCCGGTCAACATCCGGGCCACATGTCCGGTTTGTCTTCCCCTATAACCCGAATGACCCCATCTTTTTACATCATGCATATTGACCCTTATTGCTCTCTCTCTATACAACCCACCACCTCTCTCTCTCTCTCTCTCTCTAATGAGCCTTATTGCCTGTCCTCTCTCTCTCTACAACCCACCTCTCTCTCTCTCTCTGTGTTTGGACAAAAGCAACGCTGTCTTTTCCTCTAAAAGAAATCAATCTCCCACTCTTGCATAAAAGACATCTCTCCCCCCCCCTTCTTTCTCTCTCTAGTTTTGGATGAACCTCCCTCTTTTCATCTCTCTCTCTCTCTAACCTTGTACATAAATTGTTTTAGACATCCCCACTGCATTTTCTCCTCAAATACCTTACCCCATTCAAACCCCACCTTGCTCATTCCCTCCTCCCCCAACATCTTTCTCTTTCTCTCTCTTCTCTCTCTCTCTCTCTGTGAGCCATGGGAAGCCCAGAGTTTGGTGAAATTCTACACAGAGTGAATTTCTCAGCCCCAAGAAACTTTGCAACCTCCCTCAAAAGTGATATTAAGGAGACCCTGTTTCCTGATGATCCATTTAGGGAAATAAGGAAGGGATCAGCAGGAAAAAGAACATGGGCCACTCTTAAATATTTCCTCCCAATTCTTGAATGGGTTCCCCATTACAGTTTTCGGACTTTTCGATCTGATTTCATAGCAGGTATCACCATTGCCACCCTTGCTATCCCTCAAGGGATAAGCTATGCTAAGCTCGCCAACATTCCTCCCATTATAGGATTATGTGAGTGCTCTCTCTCTCTTTACCCTGGATATCTCTTCTCTCTCCTTTATTTGTCTCAATGTCCTTCTCATTTCCGCATGCAGATGGAAAAATTACATATACCCCAACCCCACCCCCCGTTTTACCTCAAAACAAAATTTTTATCTCAAAACGAACTTTTATAACAAATACCCTCAAGTAAAAAAATCATAGTTTTTTTAAATCAAAATACTTTCGTCTAGTCATTGAATGCCATCGGTTCGACACTTGTAAAGATGGTCCGGTAGTTTATTGCTGGGGTTCAATAGTTTTGTCTATGTAGCACTTTGATGCCATGGTCCGGCATAAGTTGCATGGGTCCGGCAATTACTGTGTTATGAGTTCTAGTCCCGACAGTAATATATGCCGAAGCATATTTGGAGATTAAGAGTTTACATGAATGTGGCACCTTCATGTAGGAGCAAAGGTATTTTAGTCCTCCAAACTATAAGTTTCTTAATTGTACGGGCAAAGGTATTTTAATCCTTCAAATTATAATTTTTTTTAATTGAGGGGTCTCTACTATAAAAATTAGTTTTGAAATAAAAGTTATGATAAAAAAATTAATCGAGAGAAGTTGTGAAGAAATTTGAGTCAAAGGGGTTTTTGTAATTTGCTCTTGAATTTTTTTTTTTCCTCTCCCTCACATACACATAGGCACTTATATACACACACATCTCCCCACCATCATGCTTTATTTTGTAGGTAAAACAAAGTTTGATGACTTGATCTCTTGTTTTTCTAAAAGCTGCCTCTGTCTTTCTCACATGCACAGATAAACACACATAACTCTACCATCATGCTTTATTTTGGATGTTACAGGTTTGGTCACTTTTTTTTGTTTTTCTCCCAACGTTGGTTTTGTCTTCTTTACAATCTCTCTCCCTCACATGCACCCAAAAATAAAAACATTTACAGTCATATACACTCATCATCCTACCATCATGCGTTATGCAGTTATACTCACACATCATACTTTGTTTTGCATGAAGGTTGTTTGATCTGCTTTTCAATCCCTCCCTCCCTCCCTCCCTCCCACTCTGTCTCTCTCTCTCTAGCTATAACTGGGTTCTAGTCCTACAAAGCTCTCATTCTCTCTAGCTCTAACTGGGTTCTAGTCCTACAAAGCTCTCTCTCTCTCTTGCTCTAACTGGGTTCCTAGACCCTCTCTCTTTGTCCTACAAAGCAACATGCAATATTTCCATATTGCATTCATTTAGATGGTATTCTCTCTCTCTCTCTAGCTAGGTTCTTAGACACTTTCTCTTGTCCTACAAAGCAAGATGGTATACTCTCTCTCTCTTTCTCTCTCCAGCTCGGTTCTTAGACACTTTCTCAAGTCCGACAAAGCAAAATGCAATATTTCCATATTGCATTTACGATAGTGATATAACTAAGAGAGTGATTTACGTGCGGATCTTAAAATTTTAAGTAAACTATAAAATGCTCCGTTTATAAGAGAAAACAACAAAGAAGGTTTGTTAACCCTTTTTCTTTTTTTTTTTCAAAATTTGCCCCTTAGTCAACTCAAATTTTGATTTTTGATTTTTTCGTTTTTTTATTAGTAGGGTAGTGCCCTAAGCTTTAAGGCACTGCCCTACTAATGAAAAAACTAAAAAGAAAAATCAAAATTTAAGTTGATTGAAGGGTAATTTTGAATAAAAAATAAAAAAAAACGGATTGATTGACCTTCTTTGTAATTTCCGCTTTAGCATTTGATATGCTTTAACTACTATTAAGTCTTCATTTTTTAATGATTTAGAGGCATATAATAATTATCTGGAATGATATATAGATTCAAGCTTTGTCCCTCCAATTATATATACGGTGTTTGGGAGCTCCAAAGTGTTGGCGGTTGGCACGGTTGCGGCCGCATCTTTGCTGACTGCTTCGATTGTTGGGGCTAAAGTATCTGCGGATGAGGATCCTGCTTTGTATATTAGTTTGGTTTATACGGCCACTTTGTTTTCTGGCCTCTTTCAACTTATAATGGGCTTCTTCAGGTTGGATATTTCTGTTATAAAGGATCTCTCTCTAAGGTGCTACGTGTGTGGATATGTCTGTTTAATGGGCTTTTAGCATGGGATTTGTGGCTTCACTGAGCAAGGTAGCAATGGACTCGGACCCGACTCGGGTTGGGGTATGGGTCCAAATATTGGACTTGAATACTATTCGAGTCCAGGTCGGGTCCACCCGAATGGTGTTATTATTTAAATAATTTTTAATATATAATATTTAAGTACGGGAAAAGTTTATATAGAGTCGAGGCTCTAAACAATCAAATTGGAGCCTATCACAAAAATTTCACTAGAAGAGGCTGTTTTGATATCCAAATATCCTCAAATTGATCGTCTCGACATCAAGATGCATGGACATAAAAAAAAATAGATTTCAAGTTTTGAAAATAGTATCTTTTGTAATGTATTTTTTGGACTATCAATTTTCAAGATTTTCAATTTTTCACAGATCTGTCGATCTACACTATTTTTGAAGCTTTAAACTTAATAAATAAAGGTGAAAATATATTTTAAGACTATCACAAAGATTGCCAATATTGAAACCACATTTCTTGACATTATTTGAAGGTAGGCTCTAATTTGATTGTTTAGAGCCTAGGCTCTATACAACCCCACCCAATAAATATAACTACATATCGTTACTAATAATATAAAAAAAAAATTATATAAGGTTGCAACCTTAAAAATGTAGAATTAAAGATGCACCCTAAAAATCCATTGGAAAAAAATTGTTTTAATGTTGAAAAATTATCTAATTGATCACCTTGACATTGAGATGTATGAATATAAAAAAAAAAAAGATTTTGAATCCCAGAAATAGTGTATCTTGCAACACATTGTCCAAACCGTCCATCTTCAAGATTTTCAAATGTTTATAGATCTACTTTTGACCATTTTTTAAGTTTAAAATTTTATAATTACATATGAAAATAGATTTTTAGATAATCCTAATAATTTTTTACCCCAAAATTACATGATAAAATTTGGAGGTGCACCTTAATTAGATTGTTAAAGGTTGCAACCTTATAGAAACCACACCTTTAAAATAATACATGCATATATTTAACGCAATATTTAAATATATATTTTTTATTTTTAGGTCGGGTCTAGTTGATGCCGGGTCTGACCATACATATCCGACCAGACTTATTGCCACCTATGTCACTGAGGGTATGTCTCTTGATAGAGCATAATGACTGACCATGATTCATATTGCCGACCTTAATTAATTAAAAAAAAGGTTTTACAATGGTGATTAATGGGCTTTTAGCATCACATCTCTCTCCCTCTTTCTCTCTCTTTCCATATATGTGTGGATTCGTATGTTTCATGTGCTTTTAATATGACCTCTCTCTCTCACTAACACACAATCTGTGTGTCATAATTTTCATTACAATCTAAATTTGATCTCTCTCTCAGGCTCGGGTTTTTGGTGGACTTCCTCTCTCATGCAACAATAGTGGGATTCATGGGGGGAGCTGCAACAATCGTGATTATGCAGCAGCTGAAAGCATATTTAGGCCTCAAGCATTTCACTACCAAAACAGATCTAATTTCCGTCATGAAATCGATATTTTCACAGAAGAATGAGGTTAAACATCTTTCATTATGTACTCCTCATGTTGAGTTTCTCAATTACTCTTGGTTTTTCTTCTCAGTTTTCAATGAAGAAACACTCATACTTCACAGTCTTTTGTTGTAACTTCCTCATATTATTCATTAAGCAAAAATATAGACCGGAAAAATATGCAAAGAAACTATTTATTTTTGGTACGAGGAGATCATGATCAGTCTTACTTGTCAGATTTCAAATCAGGTGGTGGCAAGAGTGACATTCACTAAACTCACGGTATATTAAGAAACTATTTATTTTTTATACAAGGAGGCACAGTCACTTTTTGTCTAATCAAATTTCAAATTGAGTGGTCATAAGAGTGTCATTCACTAAACTCAAAGTTCCAAAATAAAATTTCTCGAACTTTTTGAGCACCCCAAGCCGTCCAAATTGACTTCTAATACCTATGTGTAATTATGACTTCCTTGTAACAAAGATAAATAATCTCATAATATACAATGCCAAAAATATATCCAAGACAAGTTACTAAAGGAAAAATGTTATTATACATCAGTCGGTATCTATACTGTCCATTTTAATTAGACGATGCAGACTGGACTTCGAAAGCCCTATCTTGATTTTCAGATTGTATCTGCATTGTCTAATTGTATCAAATTGTATAAATTGCAGTGCCGGCACAACTTATAGTATGTTACATGCACCAAAACACAATTGATCATCACAATCAAGGAAATCTTCTTTTATTTTTCTCCATTAATGTCAAGACGTGGTCCGCTATTTAAACCAATGTCTTAAAACCTAGATCGGTGAGTAGAATTGGCCATCTAGAAAACCAATCCAATTCAAGGGATCAACCAGATCGGCTTGATTTAGCCTTCAATAAAATTCACAAAAAAAATCACTAAAAACCATTATAAATAACGTTTCTTGGGTTTTCAAGAAAAAATGAGGGTAGTGCATTATGAATTTTTATTATCTCACAAAAAAATTAAAGATTACTATGCCATTTCTTGTTTGAATATCTATTGACTATTACATTCACAAAAAAAAAAAAGTACGCAATCATCAAGAATATTAATATATAGTCCAAAATGGAACATACAATTACAAACATACAACCTAATACTAAGAGAGTAGTTTTTGAAATTTATGAAGTTTATAGATTTTTTAGAAAAGATATACTGGTTTTTAAAATATAATTATAATTTACAATTTTTGAAAAAGATATAGCAATTATAATTTACAAATTACTATTTTGTATTAAATACGACATTGATAATACTTGGTCCCCTGGTGTTCATGGGCCCACCCAAATGACCCACCCATGTTTATTTATAAAGAAAACTAGAAATGCTGCTTCTAATAAATAGTTATATTGCTTAGTAATGGGGCTGCTGGGACATCTTTCATGAAAAAATAATTTGAAAATACAAACGCGGGAACCAAGGGATCCACCAAGTAAGATCGCCTGGTTACTTATAAAAATCGGGCGGTTCTTTTCGGACCCGGTTAGTTTTCGATATATTACAAGGATTAGATAAGGCGAAACGATTTTCAATCTAGATCGACCAATTTTAATTCAGATCAACATTTTTTAAAACATTGATTTGAGTGAAATCATTCTTTTCTTTATTTTCGATAAATAGTATGTGAACCCAAATCCTAATTGACGGTTTTTATCATCATTTTCGAGCTAGTTTTACCCTATTATTCTCGTTATTACACGTCTACAAAAGCATAGTATGTGATTGTTCTAGATTGTACAGAAGGGCGTGATACCAAGACCTGGGTGAAAAACGTAACCTTGTTATCAGTACGGTTAGTAGTGAAACTACTGATTGCAATCAGTTTTGAGTTGTACAGTTTGCTAGTACCTGTTAAGCTGTTTGTTCATCCCCACCAATTAACCATTGTTGACATTGAATGACTGGTATAGGTGGCAACAGGTCGGGTCCAGCCGGACACAAGCTTAAATTTTAAAATATTTATGTATCTAATTATATTTAAATATATTTTATACGTTGGAACTCAAAAAATATTACAGGACTCAGACCTGATTCATCAGGTCCAATTTTTGGATCTCCACCCATACCCAAATTGGATCTACACCTTGGGTCCCAAGTTGGGTTCGGGTCTATTGCCACCCCTAATGGTTGGAGAGGTGCTAGCCAATATAGGGAACTCAAGTGCTATTCATTTATTTTTATTTTTATTTTTTTTATTTTTTTTCAATTGTTGTTGTTATTGTTGTTGCTGACATTTTCTTTATGGGTTATAGTGGAGATGGGAGAGTGCCTTGCTAGGAGGGATCTTCCTCTTCTTCCTTCTTCTAGCACGCTATGTGGTAAGAATCAAACGTTACACATCATAATGTTTAGTATTATCTTGTCTATATATATATGTTCTTTATTTCTTGTAAATTTGTAATGGGGAATTTATTAAAGGGTGTAGTTTTTATCAGGTTGCAACCTTACACAATCCAATTAAAGCATACCTCCAAATTTTATCATAACATGTAATTTTATTGTAAAACATTTTAGGATTATCTTAAAATCTATTTTAATATCTAATTAGAAAAAATTAAATTCCAAAAATATTTAAAATCAAGTAGATCTATAAATATATGAAAATCTTGAAAATTGACGGTTTAGATAATGTGTTGCAAGATGCACTATTTCTAGGATTAAAAAACTTTTTTTTTTCATATTCATACATATCGATGTCGAGATGATCAATTAGAAGGTTTTTCAAAATTAAAACAACATTTCCGATTGATTTTTGAGGTGCATCTGTGATTCTGCATTTTAAGGTTGCAACCTTATATAAACTTTGCCCTTTATTAAAATATATCTACCTTTTTAACAATTTATCCCTTTTTCAACTATTCCAACTCTTAGTCATTTTTATTTTGATAGATATTTTACAATAAATAAACAAAAATAGCTAAATTATTTAAGGGTGTTGTTTGTAGAAGGCGGAGTCCCTAAATAATCAAAGTAATGTGCACCTTCAAATAATGTTGAAAGATGTTGTTTCTGTTCAATTTGGTGCTATCCAAAATCATCCACATAAGAAAATATTATATTTTGTGACATTGATTGAGATTGATCCATATAATGTGAGATTAAAATATTCTCATATGGATTGAGATTGATATTGATAAGTTTCATAAAGGAAATAGAAATTCACAAGGATTAGAACTCTTGGATGTGTATCATGGTTTTGAGATATATGTAATATCAATAAGACGTTTCCTATTTAGTATGGACTCCTAATCTTATATATATGGGATAAAAGTGTAGAGAATTTGTGTGTCCTATTTGGGTCACCATATGAGAATGGTGGTTTCTCTAGAGAAAGAGAGATAGAGCCACATATGCATAAGATACAATTTCCTCTTAGAAAGAATAGAGCTTCATATGAAGAGAAACATTCTTAAAGAGAAGAGAGCTTCCTATGGAGTGAAACATTGATGATGCCTCTTGAAGACTCCTGCAGAGTAAGATGTTGGTTTCTTGTAGAAAGCAGTTCCATTGAGATTTTAGGTTGTTTTCCTTTTTAGTGTGATAAAGTCTCGTTTGCGCTCAAAGTTGTTCTCTTCCTAAACAATGGTCTACTTATGGAATAGAAATGAGAGATTAATATGGTGCTGCTTGGGAGAGCAAGTTTAAAATGGTTTGCTTGATTTGGGTTTTTGTTGAGGTATGTTACAAAATCTTTAATGTAACTTTCATTGGTATAGTGGATTTCAGTTTGCCGTGCCCGTGGATGTAGCCCTTTTGGGGTGAATCACGTAAATATTTTTGTTCTTGTGTTATGTGTTTCTTGATTTATTTCTCAAACTTTATTTGCCAAAAATCAACCCATCGAGTTTAGAGCTTCTGCGCATAACAAGTGGTACCAAAGTTCGGTTTCGGGTTTTTAGTATAGCAGCAAAGGTTTCAAATGTAAGGCTTAAGGTGGAGAAATTTAATGACAAACACTATTTTTTCATCAAGAATGGTGAAAAAATTTATTTTCCAAAGGTTGAATAATTTGTGAAGTTATCCACTAGAAGTTATCCAGTAGATGTTGGATTTGATGCTATTCAAAATCACCCAAATAAAAAAATCCTATATTTTGTGGGATTGATTGAGATTGATTCATATTATGTGAAATTGAGATATTTCTATAGGGATTGAGATTGATGTTGATAAGTTTCCTAAAAGAAATAGAAATCCAAAAAAATTAGGACAATTGGATATATCTCATGATTTTGAGAGATATATAATATCAATAAGATGTTTCCTAGTTCGTATGGACTCCTAATCGTATATATATATGGGATGAAGTGGAGAGAATTTGTGTATCTATTTGGGTCACCATATGGGAATGGTGGTTCATCTAAAGAGAGAGGGAGATAGAGCATCATGTGCATAAGATGCAATTGCCTCGTAGAGAGAAGAGAACTTCCTATAAAGAGAAACATTGATGAAGCCTCCTAAAGACTCCTGCAGAGTAAGAGGTTGGGTTTCTTACAGAGAAGTGGTTTTCATGAAGATTTTGAGTTGTTTCTCTTTTTAGTGAGATAAAGTTTTGTTTGCTTTCAAAGTTGTTCTCTTTTTAGACATTGGTCTAGTTATGGAATAGAGATGAAAGATCAGCATGGTGTCGTTTGGAAGAGCAAGTTTAATTATGGAATAGAGATGAAAGATCGGCATAGTACCGTTTGGGAGAGCAAGTTTAAAAGGGTTTGCCCGAATGTATTTTTGTCGAGATTTGTTCCAAAATCTTTTATATAACTTTTATTCGTATAGTAGATTTCCAGTTTGCTGTGCTCGTGGATGTAGCCCTTTTGGGGTGAATCACGTAAATATTTTTGTTTTGTCGTATGTGTTTCGTACTTTATTTTTCATACTTTATTTGCTAAAAATCAACCCCCTCAGGTTTAGAGCTTCCTCGCACAACAAATGCTGGAAATCTTTGTGATGGCTTGAATTTTATTTTGATGTCTAATTATAAAATTTAAAGCTTCAAAAATAGTATAGATCAAGTCGATCTATGAATACTTGAATAACTTGAAAATTTATGGTACGAAAATGCATTACATGAGGAACTATTTCCAAGACTTGAAATTTGATTTTTCTCATATTTATATATCTTGAGATCGAGATAATCAATTTGAGGATTTTTTAATATCAAAACAACGTTTTTTTAGTGAACATTTGAGGTGCGCCTTAATTTGATTATTTAGGGCCTCGCCTTTATATAAACTTTTTCCATTATTGAACATCATATCTCTTATTTGTATTTTGATAAATCTGCTATTGATATTTTATCATCATCATTATCGTCATCATCATTAGTGACACCAGCTAGATAGTTGTTATCATTTAATATTTTTTTATTATTAAATTTTAATATTTTATAGAATATTTATTTTAACATGTTATTTTGTTGGTGCAGAGTAAAAAGAGGCCACGTTTATTTTGGATATCAGCAGTGACCCCTCTCCTGAGCGTCATTATTGCCAGTCTTTTTACTTTCCTCATCCATGCAGAGAACCACGGCATTCAAATTGTAAAAATCTCTCTCTCTCTCCCCTTCTTCTTTCTTTCTCTTTCTTTTTTTTTTTTTTTGTCTTTTTCTTTTTCTTTTTCTTCTTTGTTTTTTTTTTTTTTTTGATATAGGTTAATGGTGGGAATGGAAAGTGACATTATGTTGAGGCATCCACTTCCCTAAGTATCGGTGCCCGGATCGCATTTCCCATTCCTCCGGCCATATGAGAGAAGATTGATTCATTCTCTTGGGTCTGTGGATTGATTTAGTTCTAACGGTGACAATAGACCTGAGCAGACCCATGAACTGACAGGTAGACCCGACCTCGGGTCCAGGTATGGATCTAAATTTTGGATTCGAAAGGTTGGGTCTGGTTCCAAAACCTAGACCCAAATACTATTCGGGTCCTGCTGGAACCCAAAATATATGGGTATATATGGGTATTCACAAATGTTGCCAATACTTTTTTATCTTAAGAATTTCCGATTATTATGTCAAACGGTAAGGAATGTACGTATATGTGGGTATTCATAAATGTTGTGCGATACTGTAAATGTTTCCAATAACATGGGTATATGATGGTAAAAGAAGAAGAAGCAGAAAAACGAAGCTCATACCCATAGGGTGGCAATGGACCCAACCAGACCTAGGACCTGCCAGGTAAACCCAACCTCAAGTCTGGGTATGAGTCCAAATTTTGAACCTGAAAGGTTGGGCATGGGTCCAAAACCTTGACCCAATTACTATTTGGGTATGGTTCCTGGTCCATCTGGACCCCACCCGTTACCACCCCTATGTAATCTATTATGGATACTTTTTTTATTCTGCTAACTTTGATTCTTTTTTCTTCTTTTCTTTTCTTGTATTCAGGTTGGCGAGTTGAAGAAAGGATTGAATCCGATATCCATAAGCCAATTAAACTTCTCTGATTATTTCCCTACAACCATAAAAACCGGCCTAATCACTGGATTTTTGGCATTAGCAGTAAGAATCGTTTACTCTGTTTTCTTTTATTTGTTGATAGGCATACCTAATGATCGCAGTTTAACTAATTAAGTGAAAATTTCACACTTATGAGGCCCATTAGTCAGTTAAAGTGTTTTGCTGCCGAAGACATAAGGGACATTATAAGCCTTTAGATTTCATGCTCAATACTCATTTTGTTTGTTTATATTTCAAAAATTATTTATAGCATCTTTTTTTAATATTTTTATATTATTTTTTTTTCTAACTGATGATGTTTCACATAAAAGAAAATTACAATCTGAGGCAAATATGTTGTCCTACTAACCAAACTGGCATGTCTCTTACACAATTGCTTCAACTTAATTAGATAAAATATTTAGCCTATATTTTTGTCCAAAACAATTTCTGTTTTGTAAAAGTATTTAGCCTATATTACATATGAATAAATGTCTTAGGTGTTTATTTATGTTAGTCATTATTATTATTATTTATATTATCATGTAATTTTAATTTTTATTTATTTTGATGTTTATTTTATTTCTTAAATTCCATTTTTTAATGTAAATTCCTTTTTCGTAGATGAAAAAGTTATCTAGTTTTTTAATATACAATTTTCCTAAATAGTTTTAAGATTTACTTTTTTAACTATCCCTTCACTCCAATTTAGCTTTACTTATAAATTATTTAAATAATAAATGGGTGTGGTTTGTATAAGGTGTCAACGTTAAACAATCGAAACGCACCCCCAAATGCTGTCAAAAGATGCAGTTTTGGACCTGAAAATTTATTCAATAACTTGAAAATAAATTTCCACCCATAATTATGAAAGTTAAAGAGAAATGATTTCATGCAACCGTTGTATGGTAATATGATGCAACAATCTTAAAAAAACAACTTATGGCCATTTGTTTGACCCAAAATTTGAAATATACACTCTTTTTATTCTAATGAACAATTAAAAAAAAGAAAAATTTGAAAACACAACCTAGAAAGTATTGTTTTAGCCCAATTAACATAGGCCATTCATTTTGATGAGATGCTTGGATCTAGGCCCTAGAAGGATTTTTTCATTTCCAATTTTTTGGATGGCTTTATTATCATTAGATAAACAATGTTAAAAAATAAAAAAAATGACTTTGAGTTTATAAAGGCTAAGATCTTGAAATTCACAAAATGAATGGTCTAGATTCGTTTTTGGACGGGACTCATTTTGACCATATCTAGTGTTCAAATTGAAATATTTTTTTTTGGGGATTGATTATTGCGATGAAGATAGTGTGTGTGCAAAGTTTGCGGTCACACAAATACCACAAACATAATTTTTTAGAAGCGTTATTGCATTATACTATGATACAACCGTTGCATTAGATCATTGTTCAAATTTAAAACTCTAAAAAATTAGTGGGAGTACTCTCAATACTTTTCTAGTGGACACAAGGTTTCATGAAATGTTACTTTCAAACAGTCCAAAATATTAAAGTGCTCCAAATGGTAGTTAGTTTGTACATGAATACAATTAAATCTAATATATTAATACATAAAGTATATTGTTCTTAATACTTAGTGGTGTCTGCCAGGGTTGAGAATCGGTCCGATCGGGTCTGATCGGATCCATAATATTTAGATCTAGATCCGGATTTTGAGAGGTATACATGGGATTTGGATCCGATTGGATCCAAAAAAAAAATTGTATAACAAATGCTTTATAATATTTGAAGAATTGGGTCGGATCCAATATGAATTACTATTCAAATCCATTCCCGGATCCAAATAAGATCCCAAATTCGGGTTTCAAATCCAAACTGGATAAAATCTCCAAGCAAAGTGTAAATAGTCCATTTATTTATTTTCTACTAATAGCCTACGTTAGAAAAAGGTTTTAGGGGCTGTTCAAATGAAAATTGGTATACTCCAAATCAAAAGTGGGTTGAGTTCTAGCCATTTCTATGTTAAAGATATATGGAAAATCAAAATATTTTTAATAACTAAAACACTCTTAGTCATATATGTAATTTCCATTCCTCTAACAAAAATCACCATTTTAGCTTTATCAAAAGACATCAAATTGGGCCAGGGAAACATTAAATGATAATAAATCATTTAAATATTTGTTTTTTTAGTTTCTAATTAATATTATTTTTGTAATTTTTACCAGGAAGGGATTGCAGTTGGAAGGAGCTTTGCCATGTTTAAAAATGATAATATTGATGGGAACAAGGAGATGATAGCCTTCGGAATGATGAATATCGTTGGCTCTTGCACTTCTTGCTACCTGACCACAGGTACTAGTTACTCAACTGGGTTTTTTTTTTTTTAAATGTACTATGTTATTGCTAAATGCGAAAGGATGTTCGACTTCCACAGGAGTAGAATGTCCATTTACTTTCTTTGGTAAAACCCTACTTAAAATTAATTTTAAGACCTCGGGTTTTGGCAATATAGCTTTTTTTTTTTCAACCTATGGATTAGCTTCAATAAAAAAAACAATCTTGATTGTACCTTCTATACACTTACAAAGATAATGTCATGCAAGATTTAATAGGGACCATCAAATTTTTACATGTGAGATCCAAGTGTTAGGAAATTTTTTTTTTTTTTTGAGATAATCATCTAATAATTCTTAAATGTTTCCTAAAATTTCATATTGAAAACAGCTTCCCAAGTAAGTCTTCTCCCCGAGGGAGTAGAAGTAAACTATACAACCGAGTATAGTATACGTACTCTTAATTCATAAACCATGCTAGGTTTGCAAAGGATCGGTGACTCCGTAGCAGGATCTCTCTCTCATGTGCACATTTGTAGGTGCCATAAACGCATGTGTGGTCCGTGATACAAACATATATGGTCCACACATCATAAACAAAAGAGAAAAGAGCTCTCTCTCTCTCTTCGGTGCTAAGGGTGGCAACGGTCTCTCTCTCTCGTCGGTGCTAAGGGTAGCAATGGTCTCTCTCTCACATCGGCGCAGGGTAGCAATAGGCTGGGCCAGCCTTGGCCCTATATTGGCCCTTGTCCATATAGGGCTGGCCCTGTCATTATTCGGGCCAGACCAGGCTAAAAACAAATGAAGCAAATATAAAAAAGAAAGAAAAGAAAAGGACCGGAACAGGGCGAAGCAGGTTGGGCCCTACCCCAACCTTGGGCCACGGTTTGTGGCCCAAGCCGACCAAGCTAGGCTTGGCTGCCAAGCCCATTGCCAGCCCTAGTAGGTGCACATGTCTGGTTGTCATGAAAATATGCATAGTAGCCCATACGCCATTAAGAAGAGACCTCCCTCCCTCCCTCCCTCCCCTTTATCTTTCTCTGTCTTGTATGTATATGTGTATGCGCGCGCACGTGCAAGTGCCATAAAACTATGTGTATAACAATCACATGCATACATTGTCCACATACAATAAAAAAAAGGGGTGATTATATACGGACTTTAAAATTTTAGCTCAAATACGAAATGCTATACTTAGAGGCAGGCAAAAATTATAAAGGTCGGTCAACCCAAGCAAAAATTACAGAGGTCGATCAACCCATTTTTTTTATGTTTTTCAAAATTGCTCTTCGGTAAAGCCTAATTTTGAATTTTTTTTTTAGTTTTTTATTTGTCAGGTAGTGTCTTAACACTTGGAGCACTACTACCCTACTAACCAAAAAAAAAAAAAACTAAAAAATAATTACAATTTGGATTGATCGAGGGGCAATTTAAAAAAAAATAAAAAAAAAATAGATCGACCGAGCTTCTTTATAATTTCCACCTAGAAACCGGCTTTTTGGATTCTACCTAAAATTTGAAGGTCCATACGTAAATCACTCATAAAAGAAACCCCCCAACCCCCATCTCTCTCTTTCAAATGCCAACAACTTTTCACCCTAAAGAATAGCAACAATTCTGACACGGCTCTCTCTCTCTCTCTCTCTCTCTCTACCTGGGAAATTGATAGGTCCATTTTCAAGGTCAGCTGTGAACTTCAATGCCGGTTGTAAGACAGCCATGTCTAATGTGGTTATGTCAGTTGGCGTGATGTTAACTCTCCTCTTTCTCACTCCTCTTTTTCACTACACCCCTCTTGTGGTCCTGGCGGCCATCATAACAGCAGCCATGCTTGGCTTGATTGATTACCAAGCAGTTCACCATCTCTTCACTGTCGACAAGTTTGATTTTTGTGTGTGCATGGCTGCCTACTTGGGTGTAATCTTGGCTAGCATGGATATTGGCCTCATGGTAGCTGTAAGTCAATACATTTCTATTCTTCTAATTTTATTGGAAGTTTAATATCTTTGTAATCTGCACTTAATACTGATTTAAAGAATGCCAATCTGACTCAAAATCGCCACATTGGATAAAAAATGGAAAAACATGGATGGTTCTGGATGAAAACCCCTCAAAATTGCTCGAATAAGTGTTCGAAAAATTGAGATGGCCTCGGAAACTGGCCAATTACCTATTTCGAGTAACAGGTTCAACCGGCCTAACTAGGCAGGTCCCAGCCAGTTTAAAAAGTGTTAAAAAATAGATAAAATACAAAAAAATCTAAAAAAAATAAATGAAAAGTATATTTAAAGAATGATTAAACAAAGCACATCCAAATGAAATTGAAAATTAGTTAAAAAATGATTTTTTTTTGCGCTCAAGGGTATTTTTAAAATTTAAAAGAAAAAAGATGGAAAAAGTGTAAAAAAAAAATACTTATGGCCAAAACACTTTTCAATTTTTGTCAAAATGAGAAAAACCTTTCAAAAACACATTACAAACCAATCCCTTATTTTTCAAAAAAAAAATAATATATATATATATATATATATATTTATTATTAAGATTCCAGTTTTAACAGTCGATTTGCGAACACTGACCTGAAATCTCCTAGTTTACTACTTTATTTAAAAGAAATTTCTTTTCTTTGCAAGTCTAGCCCTGTATGGCACGGGAAGAATGATTCGAGTCATATTGAGAGGATCGGAATCAGACCCTGTCGGGAATTTTTTAACACTAATCCAAAATATGATGACGATTCCTCGTAGATATTAATTTTTCATTTGAATTTTTTCCCTTCTGAGTTTTTTAATAATTGAACATATTATTGTCTAACTTAACGCAGTCCAGATTTTGTGCTTTCGAAGTTAGGATTCCCTTCAGGGCTGGCCATGGGCCTGGTTGCCTGCCCTGAAAACCTAGGTCTTGGGTTGCAAATGTAGTCCGAGGGTTGGGCTAGGCCCAAGCTACCATGGCTCTAGGGCTGGGTGGGGCCTAGGCCACAAAGGGGTCAGTCTTGCTCAGCCCAATTATTTTCTTTATTTTTGTATTTTTTAAAATCTTTGAGTCAAGTAAGGGACAACCAGCCTAGACGGCCCCCCTCGGCCCTAGCTAGGCTAGGCTCATGCCGATCCTAGAGGTACCTAGGTAGGGCTGGCAATCGGTCAGGCGACCCAGCCCTTAAAAAGTAGGGTCTGGGCCACAAACTGTGACCTGAGTGCTGAGCTAGAGCCAATGCAAGCCTGGCCCTCTTATTTTTTTCTTCTTTTTTTTCTTTTATTTTCTTCATTTCTTACAGGGCCGGGCCAAGGCCAAGGCATTGCCACCCTTAGACCCAGTCTAGGCTCAGGCCAGGTCCGGCCCGGCCCGTTGCCAGCGCAACCTACCTCAAAGTGATCCAAAGTTATGGTATGATGACCAATATCCCCACCGAGCTATGGTGGACCAAAGTACCCATCTTCTTTATTCTTTGATATTTGGATGTGTATTGAGAAATAATCTAATGGATTTTCATGTTTATTACATTTCAGGTTGGGATTTCTATTTGTAAGGCACTTCTTTATGTGGCTAGGCCAGGGACTGCCATGCTTGGGAACATGCCAGAAACTGGAATGTACAGGGACATGGCGCAATACCCTTGTGCAACTAGGGTTCCAGGAATTCTCATCCTCCAGTTGGGTTCTCCAATCTACTATGCCAATTCTAGCTACTTGAGGGAAAGGTCTCTCTCTCTCACACACTGTACGCGCATGTGTGTGTGTTTTTGTATTTCAATTGAATGGTCCTCTGTGTGTGTGCGCGTGTGTGTGTTTTTGTGTGAACTTGTGAACCATAATATCACAATTCAAGTGAATGGTCCTCACACACACTCTCTCTCTCTTTTGCATGAGCCATGATATAAAAACTCAATTTATAGTCTACTTTTACCATATGTGTTGTAGGATCGCAAGGTGGTTCATTGAAGAGCAAGACTACATATCTCAGACCAGTGGGGAAAGCGTAGAATATGTTGTTCTTGATCTCAGTGGTAGGAATGAACAGCATTTCATGTCTTAATATTCATATTCCTCACCATGACAACCTGCACTTACTTTGTTGGGCATCCACATTTCAATTCTTTAACAAAAATCATCATTTTCTAATTCTCTCTCTCGGTTTCTGTCTCTCTCTTGCAGGGGTCACGAGCATCGACACCAGTGGGATAAATATGCTCGACGAGGTCAGGAAGCTATTCGAGAAAAAAGGGGTGAAGGTACACCTAACTCTTCCTTAATAAAAATAACAAAAGTAATCATTGTCTTTTAATAATAATTGTATATCTTTACTTAATAAGTAAACTATCACAAACACTAAATTAAAAAGAAAAACTATATTTAATAAATCCACCATTCACCATCTTTTCTCTTACTTGCTTTTATGGGTACATGACAAATTAGACCCAAAAACAACTAAAGCCAGCATATTATGTACTCCCTATTTTAAAAGAGGCTTTCTTTTTCCCTTTCTTGCTAGTAGTAAAACTTTCTTGCTAGTAGTAAAACCCTATTATTATCGAGTTGTACGTGAACATCATCATCATCGTCAAAGCCTTTCAGCTTACTGTAAACCCAAGAGTTCTGATAAATTTTTACATCGGCCGTCTCCCTAACATTCTCTCTCTCTCATATTGGAACATATTGCTCTTGGACTTTCAGCTTGCACTATGCAACCCCAGAGTGGAGGTGACAGACAAATTCGTGCTCTCACAATTTGTGGAGACAATAGGGCCAGAATGGCTATTCTTGACTGTCAAGGACGCAGTGGCAACTTGTGGCTTCCTCTTGCACACAACAAAAGAAGGCAATAAACAAAAATTGAATCCCATGGCAACCGGTGGCTTTGCAAATGATAGTAACCATTAGTTTTTCTTTCTTTTTTTATGCAATGTGTGGATGACAAACCCTTATTGTATGCTAGGAAGAACCCCATGAATAGTTAGTAGAATTGGAGCATATATCAAAGCTTAGCTACAAAGGTGCTTAGTCAAGTGACTCCATTGATGAAAAACAATTAATAAGCTTCTTCACTAAGGGGTCGTTTGGATACCTGGAAATATATTGTTTGTGAAATATATTACTGCCGTAATACATTACGCTATAGAATGCATTACTTGCAAATGGATTGTTACTGTTTGGATGGTATTTAGATACAATCTGAGAAATACATTGTTATTGTTAGACTATGTCTGGAAGAATATGGAAAATGCATTACCAACATTTTACCACCACTTGCCTATAAATTATAATTTCTTTCTTTTTATCACAAAGTTCCACTGAAATGCGGAATTAAAATCATCATCACACCATTCCAAAAATATTTTCTAATATTAACATCGTCACCATTCCAAAAATGTTTTCTAATAATAACTTGTACCATTCTAAAGGCATTATGATACCATTTCCTACTTATTTTGCATGCCTTTGGCACTTACATGGAATCACATCTCTTCTAACATGATTAGTCTTTGGTTTCAACATGATAAGTCATTGGAATAATATGATTGAAATAACATGATTTTATCGTGATAAACCTTATTTTTATTTATTTTTTATAGAAGTATTTCAAATGTCTCTCAATGTAATTTCAAATAAACAATAAATTTATAATACCAAATTCAAAATCTTTAGGGTACAAGTTAAAAAATCGAAAAAAGTGTGATTAGTAAACTAGAAAGTTTGGCAATTGCAGTAGAAAATTTGAGATATTGGAGGAGACTAAAGACGTATCTTGTTTCAATTGAGCTTTTAATAATCTGTTATTATGTTTTATTATGATTGTATTGTTATTATTTTTGTTTTTATATGATAAATGATGGCTTCAGATGAGTGCTACAACCCAAATTGGGGATAGAGGGATATAGAAATGATGTGCACATGAGAGTGTAGAAATGGAGTGGAAACACTTCTAAGTGGAGTTCAAAGAGAAAAAGTAGAAATGGATGTACACTGTAAGTAGAGTTTAGAGATAGAAAGTAGAAATCGATATGCACAGGAGAGAGGAAGAATGGTGGGAGAATGGATAGACACATGATAATAGACGGACAATGGTAGGAGTTAGAGGATTTTTTTTGGATAAGGACACGCGGTAGTTAGATTACCCGTTAACCGCCTAATAGATTTCACAATCATTCTACGAGTAATGGATTTCACATATTTTGGAGAAATCTTGTATAATTTATTTTTATTTTATTACTGTTGAAGTGTACCCAAACATGATAAATCTCATATTTCCTTGTAATATGTTCCCTATAATAGATTTTTAGGTACCCAAACGCCACTAAAGTGATTGTGACTTGATTGTTCCCATTTGTGAGATATTTGATACAATGAGGAAGTGATATACTTCAGGGCCTGTTGGCTTAAAAAAAGATGCAGAGCTTCAGGCGTAAAACTTGATATTGTAACAAATTATCTAGACTGTTTATTTTGCCCTAAAAATAAGTGTTCATAGATCCACAAGATCTGCACTATTTTTTTATTTTCGAATTTTATTGTCCATGTTTGGAAATTGATTTTAGATCCATCATAGAGATTTTCATTGCGGAAAGTGCTTTCGGAGGATTTGAGATGAGGTTTTATTTTGTTTTCATAAAGCCTAGGCCTTATAGAAATCTCATCCTTTTAATATTGTCTTCTTTAAGCCCAAAAGTTACAATTTCACCATTATTGAACATTGTTAAGTAGCAAAAAATTTAGCAAGCATAGTTAAAAAGAAAAAATATCCTAGTTTGGCACCCATCACTTGCATTGCTTTTTTTCCTTGTACATCTACAACGTGACCAAATTATACGAAAGAGAGTGAGAGAGAGAGTTTTTCTGTTTTATGTTTAAGAGAAAAATGTTGTAACAATTTTATTTGTAAAAATGTAATGAGGAAAATTTAGGTTTCTTTCTCATTCTTTTTGTCTCTACTTTGGAGCACATAACAATGTATTCAATGATGTTTTCTTCTTTTATCTTTCTTTCTTCAGTTTTTTGAGAGGATAGAGCACATGCACGCTTGTGTTATATGCCTAAATTTGAAAGCAATAGACGGTGGGGAAATTTGAATTTTAATTTTTTTCTTATTTTTATTCATATCATTTCAAAGGAATGTGTTCTAAAGCAGGTGCAAAATAAAGAAAGTGCACTAAAATTGCAAAAGTGTATTTAAGCGTCTTGGGAATGGGTTGGCGCGTACGTGGTTCGGGTGTGGTTGCCTCAACATAACGTCTAACATATCAAAAAATCATTTGCATCGTTAACATATCAAAAAATAATCGTAATAGAAAGATCAGTAATAAGCAGCTTGACATCTTCTTCTCCCTAAAATTTCTTCCTATGCTATGTTAGAATTTAGGAAAACTATGAGAAAAAAGTGCTAACTTTGTGCTTCATTAGAAACATCCATAAAAAAAGTAAAATCATAAATAATGTAAAACATTATCGATATGTTTGATAAGACAGAATTTTGATTTTTGGATTTTTGAAAATCTAAATAAACGTATTGTTGCCTTTTTATATTTTTAAAATTATTTGTTGCCCTGTGTGTTTTTTATGTGTATATTTGATAGACAAACCATATTTCATAAGTTTTAGAGAAATTTACAACTATAGTCAATTACAAAATGGAAATAAGTTTGTCTCAAATTGCGTGCACCACCCCCTTTTTCCGGGGTTCTCTCTAGGATGAATTTTGGTTTTTCTCTGTTTTTTTGCTGCTTAGAAAATTTGGGTTGTGGATTTTCTTTGAGAATGATGAAACCGGGTTTCTGTCTCTAAAAACATTGAAGATTTGTTGATTGTTTTAGAGGGAGAGAAAGATGGGCTTTGTTGCAGTAAAGAGGCAGTTGGGTATCAAGAAAAAGATATCAGCAGTTCTTTGTAACAAAGGGCGTGCAGTTGGTTTTATATTCCAAGATCGCTTGATTTACAGCAAATGACTCCTCTGCTGAATAATGGGCAACTGTAATCTTTGCAATACTTGTAATCCGAATTGCATGATTCTCGAGTGGAGTGGCCTTGGACATCACAATCAACAGTGGCCATTTTTCTTTCATGTGATTCCCAAGGATCTCCTTTTTAAAATGGAAAATTCTAATTCCTTTAGATTCTTAATGAATGAAGGATTTTATCTCAAGATAATGGTGCAAGGGGGTGATGATCTTCCTTTGTTTATGCAGAGAAAAGAGAGCAGAGAGGAAGTTAGAGAGAGTAGAGGTAGACGAGAGAAAGAGAGCTAAAGAGAGAAAGCAGAGGCAAACAATAGAGTTGTAATGGTTTTAGAGAGAGATTTTACTGAAACAGGGGACCAAGAAAGCAGATGAACAACATAAAAAGAATAGATAAATGGTTGTCCGGCATTTTGAATACCGGAACGTTGTTTTTGTTTCAAAACAAAAATCCCATCTCTCCGGTGATGTCCCGTTTACCGGACAGGATAACTTAAAAAAAAAAAAAACCTAGGAGAAGGGCTGCCGTCCGTAATTTGGAACAAGACATATTCCCATTTTGTAATTGACCCAATATGGTCCGTACAAAAATTTCTTTAAATTTAATACAAGGCAAATGTTTCTATACCTCCCCTATAGCATAGAAGATATATACTTCCCCCATCCAAATGTCAATTTAGATCAAGTGAGCCATGGACCGTTTGATCGAAATCTGATGCCTCATATTATTTTATTTTATTTTTAATTATTTTTTCTAAAAATTATATGAATATAAAATTTCGTACGTGCCATCTTCTCAATAGGGCACACCTAGAAAAATATTAAAAAAAAATTTTTGATGAATTATAATGACTAAAATACCTCTTGAATCTTTCAGATGTATTTGGTTATTTTATTTTATTAAGAATATTTTTTTTATAGTTTTTACAAGTGCAAGTTTAAAAGAGGAGTGGATGCCAGGTGTCGAAATATTTTGCATAAAACAAATTAAAAATAAAATAGTACATAACATTGTGATTGGGGACATCTTAGTTGTCTATTCAGAATGGGCAGATAGGGGAAAGTATATAAATTTTATGCAGCGGGGCAAATCGTAGAAAGCTTGCCCTTTAAACAATTGATATTTCTGACTGTTTGGTAAACAGAAATTGAATTCACATGAAACTAATCCGAAATGTCGTCCAATTGTCGAGCCATGCCCAAGTTACCATACATGACCACCCAAACAACCATAGATGTCCAAGAGTTTAGAGACCTGATTTTTTCATAGCCATTTTAGTAAACACTTTATAAGCATGTTTAAAATTTAGAGTGAGAGAGAGAGAGAGGACGATGCTGAATGAAGAGAGGTTAAGGGGAATCAAAGACATGGAGACAAAAAGGGAATGGCAGAAGAGAGAAATAGATGAATGGGGAGGTGGTGGGGAGCTGAAGAGAAGGAGAGATAGAGGAGGCCAAATACCAAATCATGTCAAATATTTTGATGGATTGTGCAATATAGTTTTTAGCATCCTCCAAATTCAAGTCAGAGTTGAATTTTTTTGGGATTCAAATATCAAAATTTAAAAGATATGATTTTACGCTATCAAATATGATTCACAAAGTTCAACTAAAAATTAAGATTTTGGAAATTATGAAATGTATACAATAACACCATTTACCTTTTGTATAAGGGAAAGATTTATATAGAGCCGAAGCTCTAAACAATCAAATTTGAGCTTACCTCAAAAGTTTCACTAGAAGAGGTTGTTTTGATGTCCAAATATATTCAAATTGACCATCTCGATATCAAGATGCATGGAAAAAAAATAGATTTCAAGTTTTGAAAATAGTGTATTTTGTAACCCATTTTTGAACTGTCAATGTTCAAGTTTTCATAGATCAGTCGATCTACACTATTTTTGAAGCTTTAAACTTTATAAATAAATATAAAAATATATTTTAAGGCTATCACAAAGATTTCCAATATTGAAACTACATTTCTTGATACTATTTGAAGGTAGGCTCAAATTTGATTGTTTAGAGCCTAGGCTCTATACAAACCGCACCCTTTGTATAAAGAGGTAAAAATCATTTCTGACTATTAGAATCAGAAGGGTGAGAGTATGTCATTGATCAAACTCAAAGTTTTAAAAAAAAAAATTTCTCGAACTTTGTAATACACTCTAAGCTATTTGATTTGACATT